CATTTCCAAAGAGATACCAGGAATAAAAATGTCTTTTTCAAAGCATAGGAAGACCAAGTAAAATTTTGTTTCAAAGTCTCTTCATGTCACATAAAATTCACATTTGTAACATGAGGAGAAAGGCGATTTTAAAACCCTTTCCTGGGCCTTTAGTAAAGAAAGTCAGTGCCTTTTTTTTTTTTTTTTTTTTTTGTAGTACCAGGGATCAAACTTGGACCCTCCGCTTGTCAGGCAGGAGCTTATGCTGCTGAGCTATCTCCCAAGCCTATCTCCTCTTTTAAATAAGGTTCGTGCTGAAATCAGAGTTATCATTAGGGCTAAAAACTGCTGAAAGTCTTGAGGAACTACTGTTTAAATTAAAGCAACATCTTACACTTGTAATACCTCCAACAACACACTTTTAGTACACACTATGTAAGATGCAAAAGTGATTGCTGAAAATCTGAAATAGCAAAACCCTGGAGCCACCCTGTAGAAAGCCAGCTTATTAGGTTCCAGTAGACCCACTGTATGAAATGTTGCTAGCTACCTAAACGCCCGCGACTGGCCTACACGGGGCAATACAAAAACAGTCTGTGAAACAAAGCATTAGTGAGGGAAAAACACAAGTGACATTAGAAAAAAATTTCATTCACTTTTGCTAAAAAAGTTATCTTTGAAAAAAATAAAGATCAAATCAGAGCAAAGTTAGCTACGTATCAAAAGGAATCTTCTAAGTTATTACAAAGCATGAAAATGAACATCTATTTTTAACAACAGTGCTTACGAAAAATGTTCAGGACACAGAATTCCTGTGGAAGGTTAAAGGCATCAGGGCGGGCTGAAAGGCTAGAGGTCCCCCTTTTAAAAAATAAACTCCATCCCACTTTCAAGTACAGTACAAGGTAATCATTTCCTTTTTCTCCTTATTTTTGAGTCTTTACAAATAAAACATAAGGGAAAGGAAATCTGACTTAAACCCATAAATTTGATTTTTCAACCTGTGTGTAATCTCTCAGTCTCTAGGAGACTAAGGCAGAAGGACACCAAGTTCAAACCAAGCCTAGATA